TTTTTAAAGAAATCTGTTCCTTCCAGGAAAAAAAATTTCCAGGAAAAGACTCTTGGCCCCTCACTTGTGATTCAGACCGATTGTCTATGATGGGCTGACTCTTTAAAATGCTCCTCTCACCATTAACCAAAGTATGGGTCTCATCTGTTCCAGCTGTGCCGAGAGTGGTGCACAGCCTGGCTACAGGGGCAGTCTATAGCCTTCAGGACAGGACATGGTGTGTCCCTCTCCTATTCCCGATGCCCGCTGTACACCTTGCTCCCATGCAATGTAATCATCAGACACACTTGTTGTCATGGTGACTTCAGATGATTGCACTAAAATACGCTCTAAAATACGCTCCAGCACGCAACCCAGACTAAAATCATAAGATCTCTAGGATGCTTCTGATTGATCCTGGAGAAAGTGGGCAGGCACCAGAGAGATTTTACATCGGACTCTTGTTGTCTGGAAAGAGACCAAGGCTGACCAGATGGCACGCCTTGAAAACCATACATTAAATAAATAGTTTCATAGTTTCCTAGTAGCTAGGGTCAGGAGGGACCTGAACAGATCATGTAGCCTGCCCCCCTACCACAGGCAGGAATGAATGCTGGGTTCACAAGACCCCAGACAGGTGATCATCCAACCTCCTCTTGAATTTGCCCAAGGTAGGGGTGAGGACCACTTCCCTGGGAAGTTGGTTCCAGATTTTGGCCACCCTAACTGTAAAATATTGCCTTCTGATCTCTAACCTAAACCTATTCTCCATCAGCTTATTACCATTGTTCCTTGTCACCCCAGGTGGTACTGGGGAGAAAAGGGCTCTACCTATTTGCTGTTGATCTCCCCTGATGAGTTTGAAGGCACCCAGTACTGGACACAGTACTCCAACTGCGGCCTGGCCAAAGTCACATAGAGGGGGAGGATCACCTCTCTGGACTGGCTTGAGATGCCCCTTTGGATGCATGACAAGGTCTGGCTGGCCTTGCTGGCTGCGGTCTGGCATTGGCGGCTCACGTTCATCTTGGAGTCCATAATGACTCCGAGATCCCTTTCCGTCTCTGTGCTTTCAAGAGGGGAGCTCCCCAGCCTGTATGTGTGCTGTGGATCCCTTCTCCCCAGGTGCAGCACCCTGCATTTGTCTGCGTTGAACCCCATCCTATTCTCGTCTGCCCACTTTCGTAGTCTAAATCTAGTTGCAGCCTCTCTCGTCCTTCAAGTGTGTCCACCTCGCCCCACATCTTGGTGTCATCAGCAAACTTGGACAGCGTGCTTTCCACGCCCCCGTCCAAGTCGCTGATGAAGATGTTAAACAGTGCGGGCCCGAGGACCGAGCCCTGGGGACCCCACTGCTCACATCTCGCCAGGTTGAGTACAACCCGTCCACCACTGCTCTCTGGGTGCGCCCCAGCAGCCAATTTTTTACCCATCCAACTGTGCAGGCATCAATGCCGCAGTTGCTTAATTTATTGATGAGGATGGGGCGAGAGATGGTGTCAAAGGCCTTCTTAAAGTCTAGAAAGACTACGTCCACAGCGACACCATCATCCAAGGATTTAGTTACTTGGTCATAAAAGGCAATCAGGTTGGTCAGACAGACCTGCCTTTGATGAACCCATGCTGGTTGCCTCTGATTCAAATATATATTGATTAACTTGAATATCACCTGCAGGCTGCTCAGCTTATTTATTAATATTTGAGTAAGCCAAAAGGGGCTGCTAGTAAAAATTAGGTAAAAAGTGGCTGGAGAAAAGATGTCTCTATGGCTTTAGGTATTTGTCTCAGAGAGAGCAGTGACTGGACTGCTAGTAGGATGTCTCCAGTAATGTTAACAGGCTTATTTTGCAAGGTAGGAGACCTTAATACTGACAGAAGCTACAGGAGACATCTTACCTGTTTATAGAGAGGGCCTGGATCACTTGCCAGGAGCTGATGAGGAACAAACCCAGACCGAGAGAGGTTGTTTGAAGAGGACAATGAAGCGGTTGAGCTGGCCAGGTAGCATTAGGAGGAGTGATGAAGATCTAGGTGTCTAAACCTACATATAGACACATTTTAAAAACCATCGTGCACATGTACTACACAGTGTTTGTACCGTGAAGAAAAGAATTGCACCTTGTTTTGGAAAGACTGTTTATCCCTTGTACTTCCCAAGCAGCAAAACTCTAGCCCTGTTGGATCTGCTCAAGGCTAGCACAGGGCTCTACATCCCTGATCATAGCAACATAGAAAACGAGGGTTGAAAGGGGCCTCGGGAGGTCACATCTAGTCCAACCCCCTGCTCCAAGCAGGACCAGCCCCAACTACATCATCCCAGCCAAGGCTTTGTCTACCCAGGTCTTGAATACCTCCAAGGATGGAGACTCCACCACCTCTCCAGGTAGCCTGTTCCAGTGCTTTTACTACCCTCCTAGTGAAAGAGTTTTTCCTAACATCCAGCCTCAACCTCCCTTGCTGCAACTTGAGCCCATTGCTCCTTGTCCTGTCATCTGTCCCCACTAAGAACAGCCCAGCTCCATCCTCTTTGCAGCCCCCCTGCAGGGAGGTGAAGGCTGCTATTCAATCCCCCTCGGTCTTCTCTTCTGCAGATTTAATCAGCCCATTTCCCTCAGCCTCTCACAAGTCATGTCCCCCAGTCCCCCAACCATTTTTGTTGCCCTCCGCTGGACTCTCTCCCATTTGTCTACATCCTTTGTGTAGTGGGGGACCCAAAACTGGATTTGTAGATCATGGTCTACACGTTGGAGAATTGTGTGGTTCTGCCCCAGGAGTGGAAAGCTGTAGAGGTTTGCTCAGTGCAGCTAGCTTGGGGACAGCAAACCCCCTTGCAGAGCATGCGTAAAGAGAAGGTGGCTCCAACGGTCACGTTTCTTTAAGGTTGTTGAAACGTTTCCTGGATTCTTTCTTTCTTCATGTCTTCTGAAATTAAGCCTCATTAGGTTACTTTGCAAAGACTGCCCACTTTTGCGCTTGCTTATTAGCAGCTATTCAACAAGAGCTAGTGAGGTATGTAATACATGTTCACATATTTTTCTCCCCGGTATAAAATTAGCTTAGCGTATGCAAAAATGGGCAGGAATCCAACCACAACACATTTGCTCTGTAGAGTGGTTGGACTGCCACTTCTTCAAGTGCTTTGTGTACGGCATGTTTTAAAGGCACTAGTCATTCACTTATTGCCAATTGCAGGTTGGCGTAACTGCTGGTATTTCCAAGAAAACAACAACGTATTCTTTGATGTTTGCAATGAAAAGGAGGAAAAATAATCTCCTTGCAATTAGTCTAACCCACAGAAGTCCAAGCTAGGCTGTAATGATACTTGCCTAATTTGCAGGGTTGTTGTGAGTAACAAGCTCATTAACGGTTGTGAGGTGCTCTGGCACAATGGTGATAAGAGCCCTAAGTACCTACATAGTTTATAATCAGATTTCATAATATCCAGCAAAAATGTTCTGCATTTTCAAGCATTCCCAAGCAGTCAACATAACTGCTCCAACAGCACAGGGCTGTTTATAAGTTACTTAAGGGATTTTAGTCTATCAGCTTTGAATCTCCGGCATGGGTATCCTTCCTACAGCTAGGCAGTCTCAATGATGTGCCTGTTTTTAAATAATTGAGAAGCACTTCCCATGTCCTGTGACATTTTCTGCAGCCTTGCTCCAACTCTGTTTGGATTCTCTGGCCAAGCACTTAGCCACTTAAATCAGCACACGCAGCTTGACTCGTTCTTCAGCAGGTTGGACTAATTAAGAGATTTTTTTCCTCACCACCCTCCCCTTTTCATTGCCAAGATCAAAAGAATCGGCTTCTGTATGTCTCATTCCAGAGCTTGAACGGTGAGATTATTCTTCCCTTTTTTACTTGGCTATATATTCTGAAAATGAATGGATCTCTCTCCTGGTCCGTCAGCAATGTGCAGCTGCCCAGCTGTGCTAATTTGAATGCATGAGGTCCCGTGAAAGCTGCCTTTTTAGGGCAATCTGAGGAAGTTCCTATTCCACTACGTGCATGTTATAGTGGGTGGGCTTTTCAAAAGTGCTTGGTCTAATTCTGCTCTCATTAATTTGCTGATGAAGCTCTCCTTGACTTTGGTGGAAGCAGAATTATGTTAAGAATGTGATTTTTGAGAACCCCACCCAGGTGCATGTATAATAGTCATCATTTAAAATTTTATCATTTGCCAACTGTTCTTCAAAGTGGTTCCTGAAATCCAGCTGGCAATATATGAAAATACTTTGGTATCTTGGATATATTGGGTCTTGCTCTGACTCCTTCACATCAGCATTAAGCAGGGTCACTGCATTAGCTTCAGTGCATTTGATGGCAGAAACTACACTGACTAAACTACACTGCCTTATGCGGATGTTGCTGGGACCAGACTCAGACTCCGTACGGTATTCGTAATAGTTAATAGCTGATTTTGATTTCTCAGCAGTGACTGTGTGCATGTGTGTTTTTGGGGGGGTGCAGGTTCTTTTTTCCCCAAGGATCTAAATGATGTCTATTAGCCAGGGGCTCTTACTATACTTTTTGAAGGCCTCATCTTTCAATCCTGTAGTCCTTATGGAAGAAAGCTCCCTCCAGATGGCGTTTGATAGTTTCTGGAGATCATGTTTGTACGGCATGACCAGATTTCTTGCAAGTACTTCACCATTTGTACTGTGGCTCTGTCTCCTGGGGAAGACAAATCAGGTTCATCACACTAAGTATGAAGTCTTCAGGTAGACACGTGTTTGGTGCTGCTAGTCATGGCAACTCCATTTGGGTTCAGTTTTTTTTTTTTTTTACATGTACGCTGTGTTCTGGTGGAAGATGATGCGATCCATTTCCGGAGGAGTTTTTAGTACAGATCAAATACAGATACATGCATTTATATAAAGGCACGACCATCTTCGGGGCTATGTAAGAAGAATGTTTTAAAGAGTGTCTGCAATCCTGTTCCCTGGATTCACAGCCTTAGATGTGTGTGTGCACTGCAGGCTCTGATTTCTCTGATCGTGTCTTTGTTTTGTTTGTAGAGTCGTCTCAAAGAAGCAGTGCAGTTGCTGGAGGATTATAAACATGGGACCTTACCCCCAGGAGTCACCAACAAAGAGGTAATACAAGATCCATTGCTAAATGGGTTCCCATTAACTGGATTTCCACTTAGGCCTGGGCAACTGCTTTACCAAAGTGAGATACATTTTCAAAGGTGTGATCATAACTGATCGCTGGTTTATGACTTTCCTGGATTTGGATTGCCATGTATTAGCATCTGGTACCACGTCTGTTGAATCAAGATTTATTTTTTGTGAATCCTTAACTAATGGTGTCTTAGCTGTGGCATATACCTGGTCTTGCATTAGTTGTAGCATCAACGTATTTCAACCACTGGACTTCCCTCCCCTAAATTAGCTATTCAAATGACTTTGGGTATTGGGTCTTCTGATTTGGAATATGTCACGGTCAAACTGAAACTTCTAATGAGAGTAAGAGGTGATTTAACCAGACTCCACAAAAATGCAGTGAGGCAAAGAAAGGGAGAATGACTCTAGCCCAGGAGAAGGGGAGTTGAACAAAGGGATGTATTCTGGGTTCCAGTCCCTGCCCAAGGGCTGTTTGTGATTTTTTTTTTTCTTATTGAATGATTGTTTTTCACATAAAATGCATATACAGACCAGGTGAGTGTCCTGACTGCTCTTTCTCCCTCTTGCTCCCTCTGGCACAATGAATTGTGAATTCTTTGTGCAAAGGAGCACTGGGCATATACTAGGAGGTGTTAAGCATCTACTCACTCCAGGCTAGTCTGTGACCTAGCGCATGTGGGTTTGAAACCCCTTTGGCAGAGGGAGGGATCAGGCTTGAGTGAGCGCCCTAACCAGAAACTGAAGAGAGCAAGTGGCAGCCCTCTCAGTATTGCCGTCTCCAACCACATTTTAAAAGAGGTTAACAGTATACATTTAAAAGTACTACACTTATGGAAGGAAGGGTTGTAGGCTTAGCACTCTGGGTCTAAAACAGACCATCTCCTCCCTGCCATTCTACATAAAGTGCTTAAACCCTAGAGATGGGTATGATCTAGGCACATTGCTGTTCCTAGCATTTCCATATTGCCTTCTCACTCTGTACTGGCTTTGGAGCCCACTGATGCTCCTTAAATACTACGTGGCAAACCTAGAGCCTAGATCTGGTATCTGGATTCTAGATCTGGGAACCTAGGAGCCTAGATCTGGGATCTGGATTCCAGGCTGGGGGATCCAGACACCTAAAAGCTAAGTGCTGCAATGCTGAGTTCTGCAGTACAGAGACCCACTTTTGGATCTAGCTTTTTAGGTCCACCCTGGACTAGTGCGCCTTGGCTCGACACTCCCGACCATGCTTGCATATCTGCTCCTGTGCGCACATCCCATACTTTCAAATATGCCAGCAAGGCCACTTGGAGCTCGCAAGGCAATTACAACCTCACTGTTGAAGACTGAGCTGAAGCGGTCATGGAGCAGTGCCCTGGGCTGTTTTCACCAGCAAATTTCTGGATTTGGCTCGTGCCTGTGGGAGCAGGTGGATGGGGTATCCTTGGGAACGGACGGCTTGGACATGCCACCCCCATATTATAGATATGCCCATTGTGTCCTAGCTCCCCTTTTTGACATGAGAGTAACAGCACCTACCCTGGGCTCTCATGAGGATTGCACACTAGTTGCATGCTGTGATGATAGATGCTATATAAATAGCAAAGCTCAAAAGAAAAAGATTGGAAGGGCCTCATTGGATGGGTCTGTATATACAGGGGCTTATTTGGCCGGCAGCAATCATATTGGCATATATCCCAAGAATATAATAACAGAAATAGCAATGCCGTTTTCACTCTTCCCGACATGTACACCAAGTATGTTTTTAAATGCTTTGTGTCTCATGCATTGCACCTGAAGAATGTATAGCAGGAAGGCTGTGCTGGCAGTAAGTTTTAATTTAGTTTAGAACGTGGCTCGTTCTGTAGTCATTCTTCACTGTGTTGGGAGTAAGTCCAGCATGCAGTTTCACAGAAGGCAGATCTGTCCCCTCTGGTTGCGAGCCTCTCCCTAGTGGCAAAATGCCCCTCTAACACCACAAGTGTTTGTTCTGAACACTTCTTGCTTTCCAGGTTCTTTGATCCTGTTATTGTCTTGGTTTTCTTTCAGATAGCTTGAGTGGAAGGCTGAGTTTGAGGAAATGAGAAGAGGTGAGAGCTGCACAGTAGGGAACATGACCTTAGCCTGCACCACATATCTGAGTCCATTCCCACGCTAAGCCCCTCTGTAGTGGCAGGAACCCCCTGCTCTGCTGGCAGAGTTACAGTACTTCTACCAAGTGGAGTGAGGCTCCTGCCATTAACCAGCAGTCAGCTACAGGTGCATAAAGGTTCTCCTATGCCTTCAGGTGGCTTCCGCAGTCTAATATGCATCTAGTGCCGTCCCAGGCTGCCCTTTGCACCAAGGCTGTAGGGGAGCTGCCAAATGGGCACACATTCTGGTGGCTTGGTGGTTGTACCTCTTGCTATCTGCTGCCAGATATCCTGGTGGCTGCACGTGGACGCAGCTATGACTCTCCACCCCCAGTGTGAAACTGAACCAGAGGATATTCAGTGTATTGGGCCACTCGGACACTGGCCTAAATTTTTCATTCTGCACAATGAAAGGCTGACGCTGCACACAGAATTAATTGCAAGATGCATAAACCCATTCCTTCTTTGTTCTCTCTTGCATGTATCCTTCCAGTCACGGCACTACAAGTGTGATGTGAATTTTTACTAAACAAGTCAGAAGAATTCAGGTGTCAAATAAATGTATGGGCACAGAGCAGGGTGGGAAGGGAGGCTGAAAATATATTGAAATGAAAAAATTAACACATGGATGTAAAAATAACTTTTTTGTAGTAAAACTCTGTGCAACAGGCTGACAGTGTTGGCCTGGACGCTCCACCCAGTTATCAGGTGTTGATAATGCTGGGGAATGAGAAATGGGTTCTGCTGATGCACTAGGGCAGGTGGCTTGTTACCCATCTGGGTAAGGAAGAAAGACCTGGCTCTCTGGAGGAGGGATCTAGACTGAGATGAGCAGTCTTGGAGGAGGAAACTGAGAAGCAGCCACTGAGCCTGGGGAGAAGGTGTGACCTGAACCTGTTACTGAACGTAACTGTTAATTTTTGTCATCATAAAGTTTGGGCTTTACACAGTATCTGAATTATCTTGGGGAAAGGTTCTTGCCTTTATAGTTGTTTCCAGATCTGGCCAAAACCTCTTTGTCTTTGGGCTGGAAAAAAGTATGACCCTTGTAATTTGAGATGGAAATGAGGCTGCTGAAAGTAGATTGGGCTTAAAACTTTGGCTTTTCATGGCACAAGATTTGCCATTAGACTCTCTCCATCTGTGCATCAGTTTTGGATGATCTCTTCAATAAAAGTTGAGGGGGAGGTTTGCCCGGATGGAAAGCTTGCCCTTCCTAAATCCAACATGAGTGTGCCACATATACACAGCTGTAAGCATATCATTAATTCCTGATCCGTTTGCAGAGCATACAATGTGCCAGTCGCTTTATTCAATGGAGGAGGGTTTTGAGGGTGTAGACTGCTTGCACTCAGAGTTTCCCTACTGTTGAAACAAGAAAGTCAAAAGAAGATATTCCCCCAGCCTGGTGTCTAATTTGTGCATGTCATGACTGCTGCTCTTGTCTGGATGGAACTGGGTTTATCAGAAATTATTTGCTTGCACTTTCACCTTCTATAGTGACTAGTTTAGAAAGAGGACATTGCCACATTTTGTGGAGATGTTCCTTTCATTCAAGTGGTGATGACGTTTTGCTAACTTGGAGTAAAAGATTGTAAAAGATCACATTGTCTTTCTGATAGCCATGTAGTCGGCCATAGACTATACAATCTATAGGTTGGTACACATCACTACAATTATGCATCAAAAAGACTGGGGCAGGTACTCAGCATTCAGCTGCATTTTCTTTGTCTGGGCTCGTTTTGGGAGGATTCAGCGGCAGGTCTGCCATAAAGAACTAAGTGTCTTAATTAAGGAGGCTTTGATGAGAAGTGAAGAGGGACGTTTTACAGTGTTTACAACGTTATATAATTGTCATGTATTTTGTGTCAGACTTGAGAGAGCCTGCATGAGCTTCTGGTCTTCCTAATCGGAGTAAAACCTGGTAATCCTTCTATAGCAAATAGAAGTGTTACAAGGTAAGGGATTTGCAAAAGTTTTAAGTTATCAGTTGTTTGAACAGGCCACAGGGGGAAAATAATGAGGTTCAAGATAGAGAATAGCTTTTTTTAGTTAAACACCATATTCAAATCTTTGGCTTGGCTATTTTGATGGAGTGTTCAGCTTTATGTTACTCTAAACCCTAAAGTGTCCAAAAATACTTTTCCCCCCCCCCCCCATTTAATGGCCATCACCAGACACGCCTGGGCTATAGCTGAAAGCATAACCATGGCTAAGCTTAATTTGTTTTTGTTACTTGTTAAAATAAACTCACTAGTTGAAAAATGAAAGTATAAAAGTTGAACCAAAATTCTGTAATGTTAAATATTTTCTCAATAGTTTTATCTCCTTGGCGGAGCTTTTAAAGAGGAATTTCTCCTTCAAAATGTTCTGAAGTGGAGCAGCCATGGATCTTTCCACACAGGATGATTTTCTTTAGCCTTACCCTTACCCGCACTCTGCTTCTGTTTCGCCTGACCATCTGTCCTTATGAGGTAGCTTCTGGAGGAAACGCTTCTTGTTACTGTCTGTGGGAAGGTTCACAGGTTGGCTGCCTGTGACTGAATGAACAAATGATGCAAAATGCTCCATCTAACAAGATTAATACAGATGCAAAGCGAAATGCTCAAGACTGGGAAATGTCAAAGTTGCAGCCAGCGTCCAACTTTAACTGCCCTCTTGGCATGTGCATTAGGGCAGATCTCGTTACAAGATTCTTCCAGCCAGTTTGCTCCCACTTGCATTAGTTGAATGTCTGCCACCTCCATATGGTGCTCTCGCTTCACCAGGCTGTATAGATGCTTACTTTTGTTCTCCTGACTCCTCTCATGGGGTGCTGGTCCTTCCCCGACCCCTTTTCTTCTGCTCGCTGTCTTC